CGCGTTCTCGCGTTATTGCATTATGTATCACGATCAGGCACACGTAAGTCTCGCCGCGAATAATCGAATCATGTGTCCCCGTCATGTGTGCCCCTCTCCGCGTCGCGACGCCCTCGTTTCCCGATAGAAAAACCAACGAGCATCTCTCGAAGAAATTCCGGGATAGAAGCAACCTTCGCCATAAAACTGTATTATGTGGAACCGTGGCAGAGTAAGGGTACGGAGCTGAACAAAGGCGCCGACACTCGGTCATGTTTCTTCGTCATATCGTAAAAACACAGTAAAGGGGAGAGCATCGAAACGACCATTCGCGCTTTCTGCTCGCCGAAACGGAAGAGTTCGTTGCCCGGCCACGGATGAAAACCATGTCGAATTCGAACGATCCAGCAAGAGCAACTCGCGTCCTATCCTTCGCTGATCTATGGCCGGTTCATCCACGCTTAAACGTCAAAACGAATTACCCGCGACTTTTCGACCGAACTTCCGCGAAAACAGGGTCAACGAGACCAGCCGGTATCCTCGGGGTATAATTACCCAAGTTGATGCAGAAATTTTCCCCTGGAAAAGTTTCCTCGGTTGTGCAACGTGAAGATTTTCCGGTTTTCTTGTTCGTCGATGTTGTTGCGTTAATCTGTCTGTGTGTAAACTCGTCTTTGGAGTATTTAGAACGCAAGAATTTGTTTATTCCTTCTCGTTTTTGCGTAAAATCTGGAATAAGGTTATGAAGTGAAGAAATTGAACTTGAAACTCGTCGTTCGAATATTTAAAACAGAATAATTTATTCATTTTTCTTCGTTTTTGATCTAATTTAGAATTCAGTTGTTGGATAAAATTTTCTTATATATATTCAGGAATTTAAGAAACTGAATATGATTTTTCATTTTTGCAAAGAAACTAGATATGAAAGTGATTGCAGCACAAAACATATTGCAAAAAAGTACCCAAGTTTGAAGAAAATCGAATATAAAGAACCTGGCTTGTGTCAGAACGCGTGTGTAACTTAGCAGACGTCAACGTCAGAAGTCGTTCCACCGTTCATGTATTAAATCTAATAAAGTGAATCTGCTTGCGTTACGTGACAGGTTTTAATAAGACGTTGATAGGGTTCTCCCGTGTCAATTCCAGTTGCTGTGTGTATTCAGCGAGTGAATGAAAAGTGACGCACATAACACGACTGTTCCACTTAGAGATCTTTATTTCACCCTGTCTATTCTGCGCAACAAAAAGAAAAAATCCTCCTAAACAAGGATTTCATCGAACCGCAAAGTAACTACCGGTAAAGTAACTCCTTCGTCCCATTTACCGATAACGCTAAACATAGCAATTTATGCGTTGTTGTCCACGAAGAAAATCCTATCATAAATTAGAGCGTTTGCCAGGCCACGACACCGGTACACGACCTGTTTTTACAGCGTGCGAATTCGTCGTGTCACCGACGAACAGAGATTTGTCAATGAGATTGCCCTTACGACTGGTATTCATGGATCGGTGCCAAATCTCGATCCATCGAGTTACAACGTGCACGCGTGACTTGTGCTGTTTACGCGTTGCCAACGAGTCGTTGCAACAATATACACATACACACATCTATATATACATATATACGTACACGCGTTCAAAGCTAATAATTTCGCTTAACAAATTGGAAGCCTCGATTCGATAATTAGTTCACCGCTGATCATGCCGCGCGAAAATAATTATCGTGTTACACGTTGCCTCCGTATCCGATTAACAATCGCTCGGTGATTCGCGTTACGATGAATTTCCATCTGCCACCGCGGCAACAATTATTCCTAAGTCACTTGATCGTATAATTACGCACGCTTCGGAACTGCCTCGAGCCATTCAACGCCAGGGGGGTAATTACCGCCATCGAAGAAAATTAACGATGTTTGGTTTTAATTAGTCATTGTCACTCGATCGCCGGAAATCGACAGATGTTCTCCCGACTCGTATCGACGAGGAAAAGGGTTGCTGCTTTCACGGAAGAACCGCGAGGAGGGTTAAATTACACGGTATTATCCTCGTTTAAATTTCATCGAACGGTTTATCTGCATACGGGATAATTCCACCGGTGGTCGACGATTTCTCGCGGAACACGAAGAACAGATACGGGACGAGGAACAAAACAGAGGAACGCTACGGTACGTATCAACCGGTAGAGAGTACAAGGTGGGCGAGATAACATTGTTAAGAAAGTTCGCTCGCGCCCAGGTACACGGAACATTGACGAAAGTAAGACACAGCGTAAACTGGCACAGGAAATCTGCAGCAGGAAAACGCCAGTCTATTTTCCACGTCGAAGCGGGGGGCATGAACTTCGAAAATAGTTCTCCGGAAGGCGCGGCAGACTCTGGGCAACTGTAAATCCGGCAAGACCGTGGGAAAATTCTATGGAAGTTGGATTACCTTCATGGTGTTTCCTGTTAGAAAGTCTTCGAAAGTGCATCATGGATGATTTCCATTGATCTACATGCATAACCATACACGTGGAACCGGCAAATTTTCCCGAGGAATTTACAAGTAACAACCCGAAGAGCATTAATCCGCGACGATATTTGATAGGCACGTTGCAGAGACCACGGAAGAAGGAGACCATCGAGGAGGTAATTGTCGCGTTATCTGATTAAACTTCAACCAGCATCGAAAGGACCGAAGTAGCTCAAGAAGGATCCGGTGTTTAACTTGCGGCGCGTACATTCGCCTAACGATGATAATTAAACCTCCACTCTATCCTCGAGTTAACTGCTATTCGAGAAGGTGCCCGTCCCGGAAGCTATTTTAATCTACAAAAATTCCGTCGAATTTTCTGAATCACGAAACGTCAGTTGTTCAACCGATAACTTCGCTTAACGCTGAAAGCGTGGCGGGAGCAAGTAGATCGTGACAGCGGTGATCAGACAATCACCGCGTTATAGGTACCTGTTTATTCCCTGAAAAATTGAAAATGCTTCGACAGAGGAAACGTTCAGAGGGAGAAAGAAGAGAGAAAGGGTAGATGAAAATGTGGGAGAACAGTGAGCTTTGGCGAGGAAATGGGCGCGAGTTTAATTGCGGAGCGAATGAACGTGGATGGAAAAGTGACTGACCTCGCTTGGAAGCGTGAAAACTGTCCTGCGGCTTTATCTGCTCAATCTGGGCGCTGAGACGAGACTTGGGCAGGATGTCCCGGTTGGCGTTGATCTTTTCCACAGCATAACGAAAGGCCACTTCCTGCTTGTCGTCTGACGGATGAAACAGCCCACCTGGGAAATCACACATCCATATTAAAGCGTTACTTTGACGGGAGCCGCGTGAGACAATATTTCTTATTTTCCTCCAGCCAACCACGCTCGTCTTCGTCTTTTTATTTATCTATCCACACGCGCCAGGCTATGTCCCGCCTTTGGCGAAGTAATGGAATCTAGAACTTTATCCTTCGTACGGGTGGGGAGTTCGTACGCCACGGATATTAAATATCCAACGCGTATCCTCTTCCCGCGGCGAGGAAAAGATTTTCGCATACTTCTACTTGGCTTTTTTTAAAAACTGCCTCGGTCTTGAATCGGGCATAATGCAAAGTTCGATTCGACAGGAAGTTCGATATTGAAAATTTCCAGTTCGTTTCGTCTCGAACATCGCTCGAAAGAATTCGAGAATTACGAAGATAATTTTCGTGGCAAGTTGAATTCTGACTAGAAATACCACGCAACCTGGTGTTTTAACGCTCGAGTCGTTCCAAAAACACTGCAATTCCCCTGTCTCGAAGGACGAGAGAAAGAGACACACCCTTTCAGGGAAAATGCAGCGAATTCTAGTTGCCAACAAGAGAAAACCGGCTGCATAGTTCTCGCGGCGTTAATATGCAATGAACGTAAGGGAGCAGATAAAGCGAAAGTAGGGCACAGAAAGAGAGAGAAAGAGAGAGAGAAAGAGGGAGGAAAAAAAGAAACGCGAACTTCAAGCAGCGAGTATTATATAACCGCAATGAGAGTTAGGAATTTAAGAACACGCTGATACGCTGCTTTGAAATTATGATCTGTTTGAGAGGGACTGGCCGAGGAAAGCTTGAGAGACGGTGGGGTTATTTAATAACGCACGATACTTGCGTTCGCGTAGAAAAGAAAATTCCCGATGAATAATTCACGCGGCGTTAAACGTTGCACGAATAAGAAAGACGTTGGTTCGTCCGTCTCTTTCGACCGCGTGAACATCGAACGGGGGAAAGTTCGATCGTTGGAGGGCGAACGGAACGGAACGAGATGATCCCGCTCTCGAATTCCACGCCGGAAGGAATTGACGCCATAAATTGATTTTAATCTCGCGCGCGTCATAAAGTAACCGGGCGAACAGCTGCGCCAGCCTGACTCCACAATTTATAGAATTTGCGCGATAGATTTACGTCTCTCGTTAAGGGCGGGCATCGATTAACTTCGCGAGAGAGAGAGAGAGAGAGAGAGAGAGAGAGAGAGAGACGACGCGATACGTTGAAGCACATCGATGGAAGCGCAAACAAACTTTGTACGCGCAGAAAGCTAAGTACTGGTGCGATAACGACGCGACGAATCAGGGTTGCGAGGAAGAAAACGGATCGTAAAGAGACCCACGAAAGACGAAACAAAAGCGAGAAGAATCGTTAATAGCGCAGGTGATAAATCTCGGTCGATTTGGTTCACTACACCGGCTCGAGATAAACCGTCGAATCGTCGTAAACCTAGAGTGGTACCACCGGTTACCGTTTCCCTTTTTCCGCCTGTACGTGTATACCGACTCGTCGAGGTTCATCGCGGAGGAAACATTCCCGGACGAGAAGCGTTTAATCGCGAGCAAATGAAGTTATGATCTCGGCGTAAAAAGGACGTCGATACGGTGTATCGATCGACGCGCAAAAAAAAACGGGCAAAGTCGCGGTGCCAACTTTATTTCGCCGATCGTTCGACCCTCGAACGCGCACGCGTTTCCCGTATCTCTCCCTTCCTACTTTCACCCTTCTCGCCTACCCCGCGTCGTTCATTCTCCTGTTTTCCCTGATAACCCCGCGCCGTTTCGTCGGATTAATAGGGCTTGAATATTCATTGATTGTTAATGAATTATTTCGCGTCGGACGCCGCGCTCCCTTTCTCTCTCTCCCGTTCGCTCGACGACTCTCGACGGTGAAACAAAAACCGTAAATTGATACCGCTTCGATACGTCGCCCGTATATCCGGCTAACGTCGTACACAAAACACCGATTTAATTATTGGCGCGAGAAATTTCCGGCTAGTCGCAGTGAATAGCGGCGGAACAAGGTTGTCTGGACGAGACGGCTCGCTTTAATTTCCACGCCGCGCAGCGACCGGCTAGAAACCGTTGGCAAATTATTGACAATTGATACAGACACACCCTCGTGATCCGTGCTCTGCTTTCGATATCGCAGACACTCCGGAGCGTTTCACGCGGTTTAAAAGTTGCTTCTAGCAACTACGAAAGAGGGATCATTGTACGTTTCGCGGCGGTCTGTGAAAAATTCAGGCACGTTTCGTGAGAATAACACCGACGCGATAAGTGAACAAGTGTAAAAGGACACAGCTTTACATTCGGATTCATCGATGAAGTTTCGAATGGAAACGGTATTGTACAAGTGCGATGCTCAACTACGTGCAAACGCTGTTGTCTACACGAAACGCAAGGTGGTCGTGACGTATCACCTAACCGCGAAGTTTACGCGTACAACGTTACCCACATTCCTGCAATTCCAAGGACGTTCCGCTTTGAGATCCTGCTTGTCTGACTATACGCGAGTGTTACTACTTGCGCGTTGGCTCGGATGATACGCGTGGCATTCTGAGCAGTGTCAACAGTGTCTGATTTACGCGACGTTGCGACACTTTCTTTAACGAACGTCACCCTTTATGCACGGAGGACTAGGTTACTGCTTCAATTTTTCCAAATTTCTATTCCTCGAAAATATACGAGTTTTGCGAACTCGTATACGCGTCAGTTGTCCTCGTAACCGAGCGATATTCCATCGACGAGTTAACACGATCGTTCCTTTAATTTCCCGGTGTAATCGTCACCCTAATCACCGTGTTTCGAGGGACCGAAATTCCATCGGAAGACGTATCTATCGATCACAATTACGTCGCCGCGGCATTTACCGCCAGGCCAAAGGGCGAAACGGTCCTTGAGAAAGAAATGAACGAGTATAAAACGAGACAGAGAAAAAGAGGTAAAAGCAGAGAGAGAGAGAGCGAGTGCAGGAGTGCGAGAGAAAGAGGTAACCTTTTAACTCGAGAAGGGAGACTGGAAAGATACTCACCTATCCTAATGATATCAGGAAGAGCCGCGGCGTGGGCGGCGAGGAGCGCCAGCAGGAGCCACCTCGCAGCCATTTCCGGTTCCGGTCCGCCCCACCGTCTCTCCCCCCTGCGCCACCGACGCCACCGCCTCCCCCTGCGCCCCCCGCGGGAGCCTGCGCCGCCCTTCTGCCGTAGGGACTCACACCGCTGGAAAACAAGATGGGATGGTGAGTTCATTAAAATGCACCACGCAAACCTTCGCGTCCGGCTCTGGAATATATCCCCTGGCAAGGGGATGGGAAAGAGAGAGAGAGACAGAGCAAGTAGGCTCGCGTTTCTAACGCTGATACCGTATATAACGACCGACACGCTACGGATTAGAAGTCGACGTCGTGCGCCGTGTCGTTCGGCCAGTTGTCATCGAACGGAAACGAGGGCAACGGATAATGAGGTAATGGTGTGTGATTCAATGGTGCCGGGGTTGAAGTTTCAGGGGACGCTTCCAAGTGCTTTTCTCGGCCATTCTTCGATCGACGGTCGCGATTGAAGTAGTGACTTTTATCGCGCTACGAAGTGTCTGTATATATTTTTCTAAAATGTGCTATAACGGACTGAAAAAAGCACTTGAGCATTATCCTGCAATAACGAACAGATACAGATGCTTGGTATATGAAAATAAGTAAAATATGACGTAGGATAAAATTTTTCATCCACCTGTTCATTTGCAGAATATAAATTTGAACAATGCTTACGTTTAATACGACTTCTATCGATGTTAATATTATTTATGCATATAGATAAAACACGCGAGTGTACAAAAGCCTGTTGTTTTATTAATTCAAGCTGTACAAGTATTAACATCGATAAAAATAACGAGCAACAATGTGAAACGGTAGGCAAGTCGTATTCGTTAGCGCAAAGCCGTCGAAACTCGAAAATCGATGCTTTCGAAAAGCTTCGTTGAAAAAGCAATTATTACTCATTTTTAGACGTACTCTTTTTTTCTTTTTTTTTTTTTGCCACGGTGGAATTATCGCACCTACCAATGCTGTATTTCACGAGAACTGTATATATCGATCACAAAGAATACCTGAATAGAATACATTTTTCGTACTTTCTGTAACCGATCCACCGTATATTACCACTCCTCGCTCAACAGAGGCATAAAAAAGCGTGCACCGTTATGTAGATTCGGTTCGCTAAATCACACGCCAATGGAAGTACGACATTTTTTTGGAGAGCTTCTCTTTTCGTCGCGGCTAGGTTGGTTTAAAAAAAAAAAAAAAAAAAAAAAAAAAAGAACGACGTTACGTAGCGGCAAGCAGATGCAACGATGCCGAAGAAGAAGTAAGACAGCGCGAAAATAAAACCGGTGGAAGATAAAAGCAATGACGCGAGCTTTTTTCTAAGCTTCGCAGCCTCGAGCTGTTTTCGCGCAGGCGGGCAGACACGCGGATGAAACAATGTCGATGCGTGTATAATTTTCACGGAGCGTAGCTAGCGTGAAACACTGTAGCGTCGTAACGCAACAGCCGACTAGAATGGACGCGGTGAATGCGACCGGAAGCTGATGCCGTGGGCACGATGTAGAAAAATTTTTTTCATTAATTCGACCGGCGGACGGAGGCTCCCAGCTGATATTTGCTGGATCCTCGCGGTAATTCTCGGTGTTTGCACAATCCACAGTTTCCCAGGCTACGTATCTCTCTCGTTTTCCAAAAAATGATTTTTAACCCGGCCCGCGGCTGTCAATCGGAAAATCCCTCTCCCATATACGACGTGGGCAAACACGGAATAAAAATCACCGCGTGAACTATAACAGAGTGATTGTAACGCGTAGCAAACAAGGGAAAAAGAAGAAAGGAAGAAGTATATATATGTCGAGGATCGGATTTTTTGGGGGGTTTTTTTTCCAGACGATTCTTTGCTTTCTGTATTAGCAACGATGGAAAAATTCGGACTCGTTAAATCCTGCTGTGTGTATATTTGCGTAGCATCTGCGCTGAATCGTGAAATGATATTGCCCGACACGAGTTTAACGGGTTCTTAACGTTGCAAATTACATCGTGGAAAATTCGACGAGGTTACGCGCGGAACTTCCGCGGCGATACAGCAAGTTTGAAAAATAAAAATCACGTAAATATGTTCGCGGGGCTGCAATATTTCACGAGCCAGGTAACTTGACAAATATTGACAGCTGAATAAAACAGTGGCATCAAACAGGAATAATCCTACAGTCGATACGCGTGTACATAAACACGACCACGGGTAAAAATGCTCTCCGCTCGTGCAACCAAGGTTTGCCAAATTGAATCAAGCTAAATGAAATTTATTCAACGTGGATATTGAAAATAAAAGACTCGTCGGAGGTAGGGTGAGGTCTTGTTCGAGGTAATTATACGTCGGAACAAACGAAATATTATATTATTCTCGGTTCAAACTTTTTTTTTTTTGTTTGACAACAAAAATATCTGGACTACGAGTGTAACTCGGTATCTCGTAATTGAAGGAAAAAAAAAACGTTGACACGACATATGATTACCACGGGAAATATTTAACTGGCGTTGAATTTACAACGATTCACGAGAGGTACGATGTTTTTTATAATTCAATTTTCTTTACCTTTGTGATTTTTAAAATGTAACTCTTTGAAGTACACTTTCAATTTCCAACGAAAAGCAGTCGCGTTTATATCCCACCCACTTTTCTCACTTTACTTTTCGTTACTGAAAATAAAGAATTTGTTAAAAGAACGCACTTTTCAAACGATTTTAAGAAAAAAGAAAATTCAGAGGCTCGTATGACAGCAGTTTTCCAAAGTGCCTGTAGAGTGTTTCGAGGAGTGTGAAAAACGTTTTACAATGCTGGTCCAAGTATTTTCTGATCAACCCTCCTACATGGATATCGAGTACGAGACCGAACACGTAAAATTAAAGGGAGGAAACTGAAAAGTCGGGTAAATTCGTCGGCGCAGAATCAAGTAGGTATTCGAACACTCGACGACACTCATCGTCCACCAATTTTCCCGTCCCGACAGCCAATCTCTTTCTGCATAATTTATTATTCTCTCCTCTGATTCTTTGCCCCGGTTCTCGAGTGGCGTTCACAGTGAATGGCGTGGCTCGTTCACCGAAACACACTCGTAAATTTTCAATGCATAGACGAGCAACGAACGGTTAATGATATATACGCAGGCGCGCGTGGCAATCGGCCGCTCAGGGATGCGATCAATCGTTATCATAAATTTCAAAATTACACTCACTGAACTTCACGTCACGGAATCAGGGAAATACGCGGAAACGCGTTTCGCTGGAACTTTGAAAGATTGTGATGAAACGTTCGGGATATTTATGGTTCCGAGCGAGATACACTTTCAAGTGGATATTTCGATATACCGAAAATAGTGTGTTCGATTTAAACGTCAAAGTTTTAGCTTCTTTCTGGGAAACAGTTAACAGAGACATTTTATATATTACCCTAAAGAAAACGCACACACACACGTTGAAATCTATCTTTGAAGAGGATCGAAGGAAGTTTCGTTGGTGGAGTAATCGATCACTTCGGGATACACTCGCTATCTTTATTCCCCTTTTAAGAGGAGTGCAACACGTGGCTGATCCGAAATAACCCGAAGCCGAAGAAAATTCTGTGGCAGAGCTAGAGTACATTTACAACCACTCTATACCGTTCTCGAAATTATCCGAAAAATAAGGTCGGACCGTAAAGCAACGTCGAAGGAAGGATTTAAATACAATCACGAACTCCTCCCTCCCCCCATAGAACCGGCCAATTCATTCCTCCATTATCCCCAAGACGGAATTACGGCTGCCATCGAAATCCGGCCAGAGAATCAGATTCGAACGAGCCGTGACTTTAATCCGCGCGTAACAAACGAGCCAATTATCAGCCAATTTCCCCCGCGTCTCGTCACCCATTCTCTTTCCGCATAATTTATCGATCTGCCACGGCGAGCCGGTGTTCTTCGCGCTCGCTGCACGTGAACTGGTACATAAGCTACGTTCCCGTGCATCCGTGAAATTTCCGATACACACCCAAACATCCTACGTTTCGCGATACCGTGCTGGGTACTACTAGCGCACGCCGTTGCACGTCATCCCAATGACACGCATTCTCCATTGATTTTCCACGTTTCACCGAGTTCCCTGCAAGTTAACCGTGACCACGAGCGGACATTTGCGGTCGAATATCCAATATTAACCCAGCGATGTAAATGTGTTCCGTTGGTTGGTTTATACGACGGTAGAGAAACACCTCGGCGAAAAATATTCGCTCGGAGAGGCGAAAGAAAAGACCGGCGTATAGAAAGAAAGTAGGTATGGAAAGGGGTTGGTTCTGACACCGGGGTCGTTCAGAGGTGTGGACTGAATTTTAATGAATCTCCTTTGCCTTTGTGCGCTAAGCTCCTCCTCCTCCTCCCAGAATCTCTCTCCTATCGGGCCGTGGGGGCATGAAATTTTTATGAAAACACGGATCATTCGTCTCGAGCTCGTTCCTTGCCTTTCTTTCCCCTTCTCGCCGCAGAAACCGTCGTGACCATCTGTCTCGACTCACGTCCACGTCATTCCATGCCCTCGAGTAACGAGGTTTACGTTCCTACGCTTTTTCCCTGATCGGGCCCAGCTAGGTATATAAACGCTACCGTAGGACGTTGCCTCGTTCGAGGATTTACCGCGACACACCTCAACGAACGAGATATCGACGCGTTATTTTTACGCCTTTCAACGGGGATCGAGTTCGATGAACCCTCGCAGCAACGACCTCTTGATTAAAACGCGTTGATTACAACGAACGGCAGTTTTGTACCACTTTAAAAGTAGAGAGAGAGAGAGAGAATTGTACGCAGCGAATTTGTTGGAATCGTAACTGAAATTCGATTAAGAAGTTTCGCGAGTGATTAGCCAGCTAGTTGGCGAAAATTAACGCGATGCATAAATCAAGAAGCAGAAGTGAAACTTTACCAATGTCTTCTTCTCTATTCATTTCTGCTTCTTCCTTGTCTCAGCTTAATGATTTTCTTCTCCTTTTTACCCGGTGAATCGACTTTCCAGAAAAGACAAAAGTATTTTCTACAA